TATATTTCTCTGTTGCACGTATCATTTTACGCTTGAATTTTTTTCCCCCTCAGAGGGGACGAGCACGTACAAATCCAACAAAAGTTGATGGGAGTTTCAGTACCTTTTATACCTCTAATTTTTTTTAAAGATCTGTTTGACAACTTTGAATTGAGGATGGTCCTTAGCAGGGTAGTTGTTTTGAACATTCCCATTATGCTGGTGTGATTGGGCTCAAAAGTGGTGATGTTACTGTTTAGCCAAATCTCATATTATGCTGATCCTTTCCTGAGAAGTATTTTATACTTTTGCCATAGGTGTGCCAATATACATCTAGGGCTGGATTACTTGAGATAAAAAAATTTGGTGCATACAAATCAACTTCCTCTGCTACTCAAGAAGTAATTTGTACATGGCTTTCCATACCAGAGAAAGCCAAATACGTCACTTAAAACAAAACCATACATGTATAGGAGGGCCAGTGGAAGAGTTGGAGTTTTGAAACTTGAAGATCTGAGATTTAACTTCTGTGCTTTAAAGTCAAAACCAGTCTTCCTCATATTTGACTCCATATTGCTATTGTCGTTTCCTGATTCTACATTCAGGAGGAACAATACTAGATACAAGGAGAGAAAAATTTGAAATGAAAATCTATTGAAACTAAAATCAGCAAATGACAAGTGGTTTGATTTTTTTCCTGTCTTCTGTTCACAGTATTTATCCTTCTCTTCTCCAAGTCTTTCAGTTAGTCCCTTGCTTTATTACAATATTGTGTATGTGACATTTTGTAAACATGTAAACACTTGTTTCTAGGCAGGATATTTATGGAAAGTTGAGGGGCTTAGTTTCTGTCTAGTATAAAGGATTAGTTTCTGGGTTAAATCCAGGTTCCACTGAAGTCGGTGACAAAACCACCATTTATTTTATTTTTTTGCCACTGGTAAGATTTCACCTTTTTGCTTCTGCATGGTTGAGATATCAGACCTTTCCCTGCAATTTTCTTTCATTCTAGAAAGGAAATGAAGCAGTCTTTAAAACAGTGTAATTTTCTGTATAAGATGAATTGCTTGCAGTTCATCTACTTCAGTACTCTTAAGTAGTTATCTTTTTTCAGATACTTATAAATGCTGTAAAATTGTTTTATAGGATTTTCTATGGTATCCAGAAGTTAATGGTTCCATGAGGCAGTGCATCAAAACTTGGACTGAGGTATATTCTAATTATCTACTTATTTGTGGGGCAGGGAGGGGGTGTTCTTTTAATATGCATACCAAGAGATTGAGGGACATGGTCTGCTTCTGTTCCAAGTATGTAAATCTTACTGCCCATAGTGGGAGTCCTGTATGTAGAAAGAACTGTATTCATGTAAAAATTGAAATTCATTTGCCCAGTAAGAGCTCTGAAAAAGTATGGTACATAAGTTATAATCCCAGAACAGACTACAGCAGTTAACAAATTTGCAAATTTGGGTCTCAAATGAAAGCTAATTGAGACTCTTGGCTTACTTGAACTCCTGAAAAATGTTAGGGATGTGGGGTTCTTTGTCTCATAGACTTATAGGTTGAACATAACTTCTTTTTTTTTAATGCAGAAGAATAATAAGATGAGGGGGGTTGGAAAATCTTGGGTCTGGGAGAGAATTCTGGTGATTGATGTGAAAAGAATCATATTCCTAAATAGACAGGAATTTCATATTTTACTTACCATTGGGGTTGGACTCGATGGTCTATTGAGGTCCCTTCCGACCCTAACATCTATGAATCATTCGAGAAAGCAGAAATCTGTGACCACAGAGCCTCTATTTCTGTAAGTAAAATATTGGAATTGAAGATTTAAAGGAATAAACTTTTAAGAGGGAAAGTATTACACTGATGTGGCAAGAACAACGATCTGAACTAAAGGTAGAAGACTGTTTAGAGGTGTCTGGAATGCATTAATTTGCAGTATTGTAATGGATGTACATGCTGCCCTATCATGTGATTCAGCATGGCAGATGTTTTGAAACCATACTGTTTAACAAACTGTCATGATTAATTACAACTTAAGCATTGTATTTCTTGATAAAAGTTTTCAGCTGCATTCTTGTCAAAGGATGCTTGCCATTATAGTGTTTCTTTATCAACTTGGAAATGGTATGGAATGATCCTATAAAGGCCCATGATACTACTTTCATTGACCACTTGTTAAATTTTAAAATAAACAGCTTTGTGTTTGTTGTAATGCTTTCCCTCACTCTTGGAAGAAGTTCCCTGTAAACATTATTATCCCCTTCTTTTTATAATGATTGCAGAAAAACTTGGCAGCGAGTCTGTGGTATGCCAAGATTGTTGCCTACTAGTGATGATGATATCTGTTCCTTCAAGCTTCCTCATTTATCTGCTTGCATCCATCTGTGGTCTCCTATGTTATATTTAAATTTAGAAGCTTTTGGAGGCTGTTTCTTTTTGTTCTGTTTGTATAGTACTTAGCATGATGGGATCCAGGTCTGTGACTGGGGCTCCTAAGTGGTACATTATACTCATATATTGATGTTAGCAGTTTTTGTTTCACATAGCAGTTAATGTCTAGAAAATGCAGACAGCTTGCACTGCACAGCTGAAATAAGTGTGAGTTATCAATGTACAGCATTCTAGAAGGAGCTGATCACATCTGAAAAGAGGAAACTTGAGAGCAAATTGATATGTGATTCTGAACATATGGTAATATGTTACTTTGCACTTGGGTAGATTCTGACGTGAAGATCTTGATGCTGTGCATATGATTCAGCTTCTCAATATACAGTTTAATACAGTTTATTCTTAAGTCATAGATATTAAAAAAAACTTGTGCAATTAATTGAATGAGTAGTCTGATTTGTGAAGATTTTAAGAGATCTAATCTGCTGTTTCCCTTGTGCCATAGGGTTCTGCTGCAAAACCTCATATAATTGTAGCAGGAGCAGCCACGGTAAGCTATGCATATAGGTAGTTTCCCAATATAAATAGATGGAAGTTGTAATTGGATAAATCTCATGTGCTAGACAAGTGATGAGGAAAAAGGTGTTTCATTAGAAAAGAGCAAGAGCATATTCATTGATAATCATAATTTTTCCATTGCCTTATAAGTAAGTTTATATATTATTATAAGTAATACACACACATATATTTACTATAACTTAGACTTTTATAGTGTATGCTAATATTTTCTTACTGGTCAGTTGTTAAATGTGTTGTTTCATCTGTGCCTTGAGCCAATAGAGCACAGATTCTATGAGAAAATAGCCTGGGTACTTTATTCAATAAAAGCTCAATAATTTTACAATAATTTGACCAAATGAGATTATAAATATATATTTTGTCTTAAATGAATATTCATTACAAAAATATTTCAGATGATACCATCAAGGTAAAAGTTTTTCTACTTTGTAATTCACACTTACATATTTAAACCAATATATGGTCTGTTGACCTAGCGTAGTAGAGCTCACCCTTTTAGTGTAGTGGGTGACCTGGACATACTACTGCTACTCTTATCCAGTATAGGAGAAGGAGGGAAGAATGATGGCTGTAAATGTCAGGGAGGAGAAGATAGGGAGAGAGGAAGCTCAATCTTTGGGCAGTGGAGGAAATCAGCCTCATGGCATAGGGCAGGGAAGGGAATGTGCTGGGCCAAGCTGTTTGCTGCAGATCCCCTGTGCTGCAGACCAAACCAGCAAGTTGTAGGATGAGCATTTCTTGACCTAGATGAACAATCCCACTTTGTTCTGCTGTCAAGAATCAATTAAGCAACTATGCTTTCCAAGCCTCTCTATCCCAGTATCAGATATCACTACCTAGAGAAGAGCATCATTCTGCCTGGCCACAGCAATGCTATGTTCAACATGATTTCTACATCATATACATCTGCTGTACAATTTACCATAACTTAATCCTTTGGAGAGTTAATAAATGTTGTCATTCTCCAAGTATTTATTGCACCTCTTCCAGTAAAGTTAGCCACATGCCTGCGTGCTAATACAAGTCAGAACAAGAGAAAAATAATACAGTGCAGTCAGCTGTCTTGCATGCATCCTAAAGCAGGCAGATGCAATGTCTTCAATGGAGAGCTCCAACTTCTTTTAAATAAGCTGTTCTGTTGTTCAGGGGATTGGGTTTAGCTACTGGATGCTATTCTGTCCAAGGTCATGACCTTTCACGACAGCTGCATGCCATTGATATTATGAAATTGTATTGCCAGCTGGAATAGACTTGTGATTGTGAGAGAACTTTCACAGGAAGTAGACTTATACCATGTAATTTGCTCCCATAAAAATGATAGTAGCAACAGCTTTTGCTACATTCCTACTAAATGTAAAACTTACCCTTTTTATAATTCCTTTTCTTCCAAAAAGTCAACAGATGCAATAATATTTAAAACTCCCAAGCATTTTTCTTTAAATCTGGGAAGGAAGACCAAAAAGTTTTGTAATATTTTATTAAATACTTGGAGAGGTGCCTGGATCCTTATCTGGTTCCTAGCAGTATACCAGGAAATGCCACGAGAAATTTTCATAGCCGTTTCTACAGGAAGAATGTTTGCAAAATAGCACTTTCAGGAAATGTGAACAAAGAAATGAATTGACCCTTAATGTTCCATAGATGCTCAGTCTGGTGAACTCGCTGAAGTCAATGAAAGCTTTGCCTGTATGAAGTATCATATTTACCTGACTCCAGGACCACTTTGAATTTAAGACAGCCCCCACAATTATTAGGTTCTAGACATGGAAAATTATAAATTTTTTTTAATTGTCCATGTCTAGAGTCTAGTTATTGGAGGGTTCTCTTTAAATTTAATGCCCCCCCTTCCCTCCCTTAGCCACAGGGAAAGCAGTGGCTGGAGGGCATACTGCCTGCCCCCTACTGCTTACGTTTGGAGCTACTTATGCTCTGTTTCTGTTGGGGGCACAGAGCACCCAGCCAGTAGCAGTGGCTCTGGCTCCAGCTTCCATCCCAGGCTGGAGTCAGGGTCAGAGCCATGGGAGCTCCCCACTAACTTTTTCATGTGCCCCTTCTCTGTGCTGGCACTACTCTGTGCATTCCCTTTTCCTGCGCTCTCCCTAAACCATGCACCCTTTCTTCACCTGTGCTCCCCACTGCATCACATGCCCCTTTCCCCTGTGCTTTCTCTTGTACTCCATGCTCCCTTCCCTGCATCCCCTTTCCTCATGCTCCACCCTGTGTGCCATTGAACCTAAGATGGGGCTGTTTTTCCCCCTATGCTGAATGAAGGAAAAAATCTTGTCTTTGATTTGACTAAGATGGGATGCATCTACACAAGACACTTAACTGTGCAGTAGTGTAGCTTACTACACAGTAAGTGTGTACATCTACATGTGCACATGCTTACTGCGCAGTAAGCCTCGCTAATTGAAAGTAAATTTGCTACCTGCAAATGCAAGTAGCAAATTTACTTTCACTTAGTAGTGACATAGTCGCACTCGTGCAGATGCCTGGCCAGAAGCAAATCTGCTCACTGTCAACCGTCCACCAGGGGGTGGCAGCTGCCTGATGTTGGGGTGGGCTCCCCAGCCTCCGCCCCACACATGGGGCAGGGACTGAGAACTGCCCTGGTCCGGTGCAGATCCCAGACCCGTGCCCTGATTGGATGATCAAGGCATGGGGCTTGGAAAGAGCTGCAGGGGTGGGATAGGTCTCAGCCTCCTGCTGCAATCCTCTGGTGGGGCAACTAGCTAGAATAGACTTGCTAGCTAGCTAGCTGCCCCACTCGTGTATCAAGGCAGGGAGCTGGGACCTGCCCCTCTTTTGAAGCACTTTCCAAGTCCCCTGCCCTTGATCCAGGAAGCCAAGGCCAGAAGCTCCCTGCTTCTGGGTTAGGGGGACATTGTCCCTGCCCTCACATCAGGCAGCCCCCCGGGGCAAGGTGTAATGTTCCAGCCCTGGCCAGGAGACAGCTGTTTCCTGCAGGGTCCCAGGAAGTGCGATCAGTTTGCTACCATTAAGAAGCAAATCTGCTTACGCTTCCCTGTGTGTGTAGATGCCCACCCGGGAGCATTTATTCTTGAGTAAACTGATCCCAGATCAAATGCATGTATAGACGTGCCCGTGGTGCATAGGATTTGGCTTTAAATCCTACCTGTGAATATTATTGTTACCTTAACTATATTCAGGTTAGTAAATTTCTAATCAAACAAAATCAGAATAATTTCTGACCAGGAAAATATACTTCAAGTTGAATTAAATTTATAATATGCATCTACGTTCTTGGATTGACCGTGTTTATTTTGTTATTTACTTAGTTTGGGAAAAGGAAAAATGTTTAATACTGTTTAAAATTAGGTCTAAAGGAGTAAGCTAGTTTAAGAAATGTACTCAAACTAGATGCTTAAAAAAGTGGAATTACTGTAGTAAGTTATGATCACAGATACTGGTTATTTTTTTTTTTTAATTTTCTAGTGGTCTATCAAGATACACAATGGAAGCAATGAAGCTCTTGCACAATATAAAGTCAATATCACTTCAATTGCACCCCTTTTGGAAAAATTAGCAAAGAGTAGTGATGTTTACTGGGTCTTACAAGGTAAAGTAACATTTAATAGCTAACTAATTCTCTGAAATAAAATTTTTGCAGCATGAAAGACTTGGACTCATAAATATCTGCTTCCAAAATGAAAAATCACAATCAATTTAAGAATGTTTGTTTATTGGCATATGATATTTGGCTTTACAGTAATTTTGACTGTAGCACTAAAAGCAAGAGATGAAGGAAAACCATGTTTCACTATCTTGTTATACTTATGAAAAACTTGAAGGCAGATTAGTGGTTGTAAATTTAGAAGCATGTTTTATCATCTTCTTAATAATCTGGCATGTCACTTAACATCAAACCTGAAGACTCAACCTGTTACATTATAGATATAATTTGCTATTTGTGTAAGATGATTTAGAACTTAATATGGCTGATTTTAACTTCAAAAAATTAAGCAGAAAAAACTGCAGTTTTGCTTGACTTTTGGGCCCTTAATGACTATATTAAAATTCTAAGTCACATTATACATGAAGTCTTAACTTTTTGCTTCAATAAAGTATTTTTTTAAATTACTTGATCTTGAGCAGCATTTCACAATGTAAATAGTGAAATACTCATTCTGTTTAAGTGAGAATAGACTATATCAATCTCATATTCCAGGAGTCTATAACAGACAAAGGCCTTTGCCTCCCACATCCACAAGAACAGGAAAGCAGTGCTGCAGATTTATCCCCTAGATTGAACTCCTAGGAGTCTTTGGGCTTCGCATAAGACCCAGAATTCCAGAACCCACCTCCTCTGCCTAGATATGCCTATTGGGAGACGAAGGATATAAAAGTATTCGATGAGAACACTACACAATACCTGCAGTTGTGCTGACAAGTTGGTCAGCAAAATTGACAGATGCAGTGAAGGGCAGGAGCTTTTCTAGGAATAGATCCTTCCCCCACTCTCCCTCCCCTCCCATGAAAAAATCTTTCAGGAGATCATCTTCTTGGGGCTGGGAACTGTTGTCTGAAGTTATCAGTGTCGTCTTTGCTGTTGTCCATGCCGGGTGTTATTGATGTGTTGTCAGTATTGAAGACTTGGGAGCTCCAAGGTCTACAAGTCACAGCCATGAGATCCCAACACTAATCTTGTCTTAAAGAATGACCACAGACTCAGTTTGGTGGCAAAGATTTGGCCAGGTTTATTATCTACAAGCACAGACCCTAACACGTTTTAGCCTAAGAGGTACATCAAACCAGGAGCTAAGGCATTTGTACCTGTGACAAGGTAGTCAGCCCAGCACCACACAGTCTCCCCAGGCCACTACAAAGTTTCCATGATTTCCAAATCTAAGTGATCAGAACAAATTATTTATTGCATTCCATAATCTTGAATGTCTTAAACTGTCCTCTATCATGGGCTTGTTTCACATTCTGACCTGGGTGTTCCCGTTCTAGCCTTACCCTGGTACTGGACTATCCTACCTTGTATCACCCTCTCACCCTCCCATCTCTTGACGTGTGAGCCTGCCAGGTTTTGTTTATGTGAGGAGTTCATGTATTGGTCAGGTTTTTTGGTAAGGCCTACTCTGGTCAGTACTTTAGCAAAGCCTTTGTGTAAACAGCATATATTTATCAATGCTACAGCGAGACCTACAGGTACTAAAGTTTCATGCTGAAAAACTGATGCTTATGGCATTGCTGTCAGCCTGTTTAATATCCATGGGTTGGTTCCATTGGTTTGCTAGTCTGCAACCCCCAACTTCCCCAGTTCTTCTGACATACCTCCATAGTACATAAATACATGTGATGCTGCCTGTGGTGTTCATCTCTGTACTGGTCTAGATCCAAAGGGACAGGATAAATTATTTGCTGCTGCTTAGGCTGTCAAGCAACACTTGCCAACATACCTGTTCCCACATACCTGCATGCGGATATATCTGATATGCCTCAGTCTATGAATATGAGGAGATTTATTGCATGATAATCATCCTCCCTTGACAGAATAGTACTCTCCCATCATGCTAGATCTGGAAAATTTCAGATGGTGCCAAGACCACATGGAGAGAGTGACACTGGTTCTGCAGATCACTGTGCAGCAGGTCAGAGAATCAAACTTCACGTTGTTTTTGTCAATGGAGTGCCTTTGCTTTATAAATGAAGAAATTGTACTTTGGTTATATTGGTCTGTTAAACAACAGGCTGTCCCGCTCATAAGATGGACAAGTGCTACCTAAAGGAACAGATCATTCCTGTACCCATCCGGTGCTGTTATTTCTGGTCATAAAAACAGCTAATGAGAAATTGCATCAAAGTAAAACTGTGCATAAACAGAAAATGGGTTTGTTCAGGGTGCAAGACATAACTTTCTGCAAGCTTGCTCTTTAGCCTCACCAACTATCCAATTTATTTTGTCCAGATATAATTTCCAAGTCTAAGAAGTGAACTTCATGCAGGGAAATATTACCATCAAATGTTAGTGAGGTTTCTTGTACAAGAGTGCATCAAACAGTTAAAAAACAGCTTGCAGGCAGCCTTAGATGCAGCATATATTTCTTGCCTTTTGATGGCGGTCATGCAGTATGCTTTCAGGGATCTGTCTTGCTTCAAAATGGACTGCTGGAGGACCTGCTGTTCAATGAAAGGAGTTGTTCATAACCAAAATAGACGATACCTGTTGTACTCTGAAGCCCTGAGGACAAGATTCTGTTTGCTCACCCTGGCACCAAAAGAAAATGCAACAGGCAGCAATCATGGACTCCACAAAGGCTATGCAATCAGTCTTCTTTCCACAACCATAGATCAGTGGGGCCATCTGAAAAGGTAATTTTCCATAGGTGGACATAACCTCAGTGTCCCAGTCCACCTTGGAACATAAGCAGTCATTTTGGCAGGACCGTCAAGATAAGAACCATGTAAAAAAAATCCTGGACTCACAAAATCTCACTGTGAGAAATGACTGGCCCATTGTAGATAGCCACAGATCCATGAGTACAAAATACTAGCATTAGAATGGGGTATTCTTTCTATTTTCACCTAGGTCCTTTCTCCAACCACTCCTTCCTCATCCCTCTATATGCACCTTCCTGATGAGGCATTTCTATAACAAAGTCATTTTGCTGCTATTGCTAGGAGGTGATAGATAGATATGTGTGGGAACCACCTGTATTAAGAGGGTTCTACAGCAGTTACTTTATAATCCTCAAGGGGAATAGAGCGTGACATTTTGCCTTGATAATACTTTTTCTGGACTCGGGGTCCAAGTTTGAACTTCTCCAGGCTTCAGGATTCTTACTTACTCATACTAAATCACACTGGAAGGATCTACCAGTATAAGGTGTCATAATTCACCTTTGTTCCCTAAGGTGCTCAAGTTCATGGCAGCATATTCAAGGTGACCAAGGAGAAACATGCTTTTGAACAAATTGGTGCAGACCTAGGCACTGTGATGGTTGTAGCCAAGACAATTTCCAGAAACTAAGCAACCTAATCTTGCAAAGTGCTTCTGTCACAATAATTTGTCTTACTGTGATAGATCATATAGTTTCATGGACTGTCATGATGCCATGTGCCAGACTGCATTTTCCTTGTTTGCAAGACTGGCTAAAATTGGTATCTGTGCTAAGCCAACATTTCCTGGAAAATAGTCAAAGAAATCCCATAAATGCCTACAGAGAAGTCTATTTTGTTCCTCTTCTGCCTTCAACTGTAGTGATTTATGCTTTGCTGCTAGGACTGGGAGCCCATATACATAGGCTTCTACAACATAGGCCATACACTTCCAAGAGAAGTACAGATACTTACTAACCTAATAGAACTGAGGACAGTCCCCAAGGTAGGCAAGTCCTTCTTAGAGCACTACTTAAGGTGATCAGTATAGATAATGATAGGTGTAAGAAGATGCATGGCTCAGGTGCTGAAGCCCAGCTGCAGGGGCTACAGGTAATAGCCTGTCTGCCTAGGAGCTCTGGGCCAGCTGACAGGGAAGATTGCCTGGCCCGGGAGAAAATTAAAAGCTCCCAGAGAGTTGATGCTAGAGAGGGAGGGGAGCTGAGAAGAAAGGAAACACTAAAGCATTGTGGTAAAGCCCTTGCCCTGGATAGGAGAGGTGGTGGGGGAGGGTTGTTGATATTTTGTCATGTTGTTTAGTTTGAGGTAGGAAAGTGGGGAAGGCTGACTCCTGGGCCTGACTAACAAAGTAACAACCGGCTACATGTGGTGGAGAACATGGACATTCTAAATTTAACTCCAGCAATGGAGACCAAGAGCCCTGCTAAAATGGCTGGAAGGGCAGCACAGCAACAACAGCAGCTGTTTCAATAGCTCCAACTCCAGCAGCAGCAGCAACTGCAGCAGTTTCAGAGGGAACAGCAGTAGTGACAGCAAGAGTTCCTGAAGCAGCATTTGGAGTCTAGATGGACCGCCACCAACGTTGGTGAGTCTCAGGGGCATTTTTACATGCGTTTCCTACACAGCACCTGGCACTTTTAATTAGCAAGCTGTGCTAATTAAAATCGCTCATGTGTCATGTGTATCAGTGGCACAGCACGCCACCACACTGAGAAAATGGCAGCAGTACACTTTGAACTAAAGGGCATCGAACTTGCTTTAGTTCAGAGTGCACTGTCGCCATTTTCTCAGTGTGGAGGCACACTGCGCTGCTGATGGATGTGATGGACAAGGCTGTCAGAATGCATCGATTTATGTACTCCGGTACTCTATAAATTGAGTCTGCTCTGACGCGCTGGATTTCCAGCATGTTGGAGCAGGCTCCCTATGTGTGTAAGTGCCCCTGGTTCCCAGAGAATAGAAGATGGGGTACGTGCCAAGATGGAACCTGCAGATGACCCCGAGGCCTTCCTCAACTTAAGCAGGTGGAAGAGGCCTATCAGTGGCTACAAGACATGTGGACTGTGAGGGTGGCCTCTCTGTTAATTGAGGAGGCGCAGGCTGCTTACCAGGCCCTGAGAGCAGATCTGGCCTGGAATTATAAAGACCATTAAAGTTGCCATACTAGACCGGCTGGGTGTCTCAGAGGAGGCCTGTTGCCACTAGTTTTGGCAG